GTGACGAAAGATCTGTAATATAGAACATGGAGGTCAAAAAATGCTATCTTAAGTAAAAAGAGTTTGATGAACAAAAGTTACAATGGCTGCGGGATGCGAACCCGGATCTCTGCTGCGAATTATCACGTATCTAACTGATTGAACTATACGATCTTATACGATCTTATACTTAAATTTATATCTTACTAAAATTAAAAAATAATATTTTTTAAGATCTATACTTCGAAAAGCGTATTCAAACAGGACTCTACATACCTTTAAAATCTGCTAGAACTTTAGTAACGTGCACACTTTTAGAAATTATTGAAATAGGTATATTTTATCAGAAATATGCTTAAGCTAAAGCATATTTTTGAGCCTCTTTTTACTATTTGCTTAAGCATATTCGAACCTGTTTCAAAAATTTCATATGCTTTAAAAAAAAAAACATGTATATTCCTACCCATCATTCTTATTTTTAATATACGTAATGAGTTCAAAAAACATCGTTGTATATATTTATTATGGCACGTATCGTAAGTTTATTTCCGTTAAGAATTCTTTCGTATTATTTTTCATCAATATTTTTAAAAATAAAACCATAAAAATTTAATATGTTATTATACTGAAAATAAAAATTCATTATAAACATTTTGGGATTTAAAGATGTTAATTTTTACAATTAAAATCAGTCTGGCAAACAAATTTTCTTTATAGACTTCAAAACGTCGTTTGGCGAAAATGTTTGTTTCGCAAGTGCGACTTCCGAATCCGCTACTTTCGTATGTTGCAAAATAGTTTTGTTTCGTATGTCAACTTGCGAAATGCTAAATTTCGGAAGTGGTTTTGCGAAATGAACATCGGCGATTTTAAATGTTTTGTAACATTCGGTACGAATGCTACAAAACATTTAAAATCGCCGATGATTTGATTCGAGTTAATATTAATATACGATAATTCATCGTTTGGTTTTTTGAAAGGCTTATATGTATTTTCCGAGAGGTTAAATGTGACATCAAAAAAGTTCACAATTTTTAAATTTATGTTTATTTCAATTTGAAAGCCAATATTTTTAAAAATTTTTATAATATCTTTTCTAATTTTATCAAGCTGTGGACCAGATTTTTTACGCATTACTATTAAACCATCGTCACGATAAAGGCCTAAATCATTTATATTGATTATTTTACTTAATAAATTTAAAATATATAATCCAACAAATTCACAAATTTCTGCTCCATCATAACTGCCCATTGTTACATCAAAGCAGTTATGTATTTTTTTCTTTTTCCAAGTTTCCTTATTAAAATAAAGTAAGGTTTTTCTACAATGTTTTTTTATGCGAATTGTTTCTTCAGGAATAATTGTGTGGCTTTTTGCAAATTCAATTGTTTTATCTAAAATATCTGCAGTTATTGAGGGGTAAAAATCATTTATATCAAATTGAATAATTGTACAGTCATTTTTATTATCGATTATGGAGAACCAATTTATAACATCAGTAGTATTTTTCCACTGTTGCAAATTTAATTTATTTCTAAGAATATTATTAATTTTGTCCAATTTAATTTTGCTTACATGTCCAATCTCACTTTTTGAGGGAACCAATAACCTACAAGGAAGTTTGTTTTGAAAATTTGGTTTATGGTCTTTTAGTGTTACAAAGGCTTGGGCAGGAGCAGTTGATTCGATTCTGTTATCAAGGCTTATTTTTTTAGCAATACTTTGCGCTTCTAAATTAATTGCATTTTCCAAATTTTTAGGGGCTTTCTCATAAGAACTAGTAATATTGTCGCGTAAAATTTTTTCATAGTTTTCTGTTGTAAGTTGGTAAATTTTATTTATTTTATCAGCAAAAACCAAAATATTAGGGTTTGATTTAATTTTTTTAACATCTAACTTTAATTCTGTTTGAAATTTGTTTTTTATAGCGCGTATATAACAATTTGAAATAAATATTAAAATAAAAAGTTCATAAATTTGTCATCTGGTCACGTGACTGGGGTAAGATGACTTATTATGCAATTTTTGCCTCCAATTTTATAAAAATTTAAAAACTACCAACAACTTTAACTATAGTAACACAAAATGAACACAAGTCGCAAAAAACTACTTCTAAAGAAGTTAAACTTGAAAGACACCATTCATTATGAGAAACCGAAACTGAGAAATTTTTTTTTAAGCACAAAAAGTAAATTTATGCGTATAAAATTGCGTTAATAATATTTAAAAATACCAATTGGTGTTTTAAAATACAAAATGCAAATACAGTTTTGTTTTCACCCAACTTTAATATTTTTTGTTGAGATGTTATATGAAAACCCATCTTGACCCATTCGCCATGTTGCCCCGCTTTCCCCTATATATATATATTTAATGTAAACAAATTTCAATGTATACAAGCGTAGCAGTTTATATTTTTATTTATTTATTATTTATTTAAATAGTTTATATATATTTCATGAAAACAAATTTTTAGAATCATACGAGTCTTTAAAAGCAATGCATTTATTATGTTTTTATTATTACATTACATTTTAGGTATTGCTGATTTAAAACAATGAGTTGGCGTACTTAATACAGAACTATAGTTTTATATAGACATAAATTGATGGGTTAATTCTAAAACATATGTCCATTTTAAACAGTTGTGAGAAAAATAATTTTAAGTTTAAACTCGTTTACAAATTTAAATATTTAAAAACTTATTTAATATGTTTCTCTTTCATTCAAGTATGTGTCTCACTCGTATACAAATTCAAATATTTAAAAACAGATTAAATACGTTTTTAAATATTTGAATTTGTATACGAGTTAAACTTGTTTTTCTCATATATGTCTAAAATGGACATACAATGTTTTAGAATTAACCCATTAATTCAATTATAATATTAATGTTAGAAATAATATTATTATTAGAAATAATATTAATATTAGAAATAATATTAATATTAAATTAACCTAGTTATTCAACTATAAAATTATTATAATTGACGAACTTAAAAATATATTATAAAAAATGGATATCTCCTCCACTTCCTATAATTTGGTAGAGAGCGCAGAAATCGACATTTCAATATTCATAACTTAATGTAGCCCAAATTTGGACATACAATGTTTTAGAATTAACCCAACGATATTTTGCATGGAATATAATCCTTTTAAAAGACATCTTGGTGTTTTTTAGAAACATTATATTCCATAGAAAATATATGTCTACAAAAGAACATCTAAGAAATGCCTTGTTTTAAATGCATAAAAGATGTGAGATATACATCTAAAGAGTGTATATCCCAGCAAGCAAAAAGATATCTAGTATGCATATAAAAACAGGTCTAAATGACGTCTAGTCATACATCGAGAACGAGCGCTAAATAGACATCTATGTAACAGATGTCTATTAAATGCATTTTATTCGACACAAATTAATACCTTAGATGTATAAAAGATGTGAAATATATATCTAATATACATCTTAGGGATCTATATTAGATATATAAATAGCTAGATAAATTGTATATCTTTTTTAAACACGTCTTATAAATCTGTTTAAAAGGCTTATTTTAATCATCTAATATACATCTTTTAGATGTATATTTCACATCTTTTATGCATCTAAAGCAATAATTTGTGTTGAATAAAATGCATCTAAAAGAAATCTATAAGATAAAAGTTTATTTAGCGCTCGTTCTCAACGTAAACTCAAATGTCTTACAAACCCGTTTTTCGATGCATTTTAGATATCTTTTACTTGTTGGGTGGAAAGTAAAAACTCATATTACTTGCAACAGTAAAAATGTAATTTATTATCTTGTTGATATTGTTAATGTTAATCTTGTAATAAATTTGCGACCTATAGGCAAATATTAATCTTGTAATAAATAAGCCACATTTATATACCTACTAATTTCACTAATAATTTAAGATTGTGTATAAAAAGACATATTTCTATATGCCTATCCACGTATAGATTTGACAACCATATTTATATCTTTTAACGTAAAGGTATTTTACTTCTTTTTTACAATTTTTTATCTTCTATAAGCTTAACAATCAGAATTTTTTATTAAATGAAAAGCATTTGCATTATCAAAAGCATAAATTTCGTAACGCGAAATTAAACTCATAGGCAAAAGGCAAAGAATTAAAAGTTTTCCCTCGCAGAGTCTTTAATTGAAGCTAGAATCAGCGAAAACCGCCACGAAATGATCTCCTACTTATACTTTTTAAATAAGTTTTGAATTATTAATTTATGGACGATTGATATTTCGGAAATATCATTCGGAAATAATTTCCCGTATTAAAATAAAACTTATCAACTATAATAGTTGCTCATAGCAACCATGTGTAATTTACACTTTGTTTAGTATATTGTAATATAGTAATAAAACAACGCTACTGATGATTTTTTGAAAAGTCTCTAGTCGCTGGAGGCAGGGCCGTATTAAGGCGGGGGCGGATGGGGCTGCAGCCCCAAGCCCTTATAAAAAAAATAGGCCCTAAGGCCCGTGACTTTTTTTTTTTTTTTTTACTTTTTTTTTTTTTTTTTTTAGGGAACCAGATAAATATTCCTATGTTTCTCAGTTTTTTTAAATCAAGTTATTGGGAGCTGCGGAGGCGTTGTGAATAAATAAATGAATAGAGATATAGTTTCATTTTTAGTTATAAATGAATTTTTTTTTTATAATGAATTTCTTTATAATGAATTCATTATAAAGAATTCATTATAAGAATTTATATGAATTCATTATAAAGATTTTATAATGAATTTTTTATAATGAATTTTTTATAATGAATTTTTTATAATGAATTTTTTATAATGAAATTTTTTTTATAATGAATTTTTTTTATAATGAATTTATTATGATTTTTTTTTTTATAAATGAATTTCATTTTTAGTAAATAAATGAATAGAGATTAAGTTTCATTTTTTATTTTATGATCACTTCCGTTACCGCAGAAAATTACAGCATTGCTCATTCGTTTACATAATTAAAATAAAAAATAAAAAAGGAGCGGCCTGAGCGGTTGGAACAAAATGCAAAAAAAGAAGAAGAATGAGATTCAATTAAATGAATTATTGAACAAAAATAAAAAAATGACTGAGTTTTGTAATACTGCAAGTAGTGTCTCGGTATCAGCTACAGCGAGAGCGAGTTCAAATTCACTAACTATGTCAATAATGTCAGCACCAGTTCCAGGTAGTGCTAATAGTGTCCCTGCAGACTCAGCTACAGCGAGTTCAAACTCATTTATGTCAACACCAGTTCCAGATAGTTCACTGAGTTCAAACTCATTTATGTCAGCACCAGTTCCAGATAGTTCAGCGAGTTCAAACTCATTTATGTCAGCACCAGTTCCAGGTAATTCTAATAGTGTCTCAGCAGACTCAGCTATAGCGAGTTCAAACTCATTTATGTCAGCACCAGTTCCAGGTAGTTCAGCGAGTTCAAACTCACTATCTATGTCAGCACCAGTTCCAGGTAATTCTAATAGTGTCTCAACAGACTCAGCAACAGCAAGTTCAAGCGTCTCAACTATCTCAGCAGTGTTACCCCTGGCTCTGACGACCTACACTGTCAACACCGATGTGGTTAAGTGGATTATAACCGACGACCTGCGTGAGTATTTCAGCAAAAGTGCAGATGGGTTTTTATCATGCCAACATATGGATAGCGATTTTAAATTATCTACTAAAGTACTGCTTGGTGACACTTTTAAGTTTAAACGACAGTGTACAAAGTCCCTTTTTTTCCGGGAAAAAGTGAATGGTGAGAAAATTAAGAGAGACTGGATTTGCTATTCCCCATCAACTGGTAAGGTTTTCTGCGCCCATTGTAAATTATTTAATTCAAAATGTGGAATTGGAGCATCTGCTTTGATGTCATATGATGATTGGAAACACGCTGCAAGAGACTTAGCTCGCCATGAAACAAGTGAAACCTACATTCAATAAAATGAAACCCTTTTAACACGTAGGAAAGCTGGAGAGCACATTAGTAAGAGGCTCACAGAGCAATTTGAATCAGAGAAAAAGTACTGGAATGACATACTGTTGCGTATTCTTACCGTAATCAAAATGTTAGCATCGCGTGGGTTGTCATTCCGTGGCAGTAACGAAATTGTGGGTTCTGTCCACAATGGCAATTATTTAGGTTGCTTAGAGCTAGTGGCTGAGTTTGACCCATTGCTTGCAGAACATATTCAGAAAAGAGCGAACAAAGGCCGAGGTCATGTGTCATATCTGTCATCAACTATATGTGATGAAATTATTCAGTCGTGACGTTTTGGACCACATTTTAACTGAAATTAAAGAAGCAAAATACTTTGCAGTTAGTGTTGACTCAACACCAGATATTTCACATGTAGATCAGCTTACCATTATATTCCGTTACATGACTTCTAAAGGACCAGTTGAACGTTTTGTGACATTTATCCCTATAGAAGAGCACACTGGGGAAGGATTAGCAACAAAGTTACTTGATTTTATGGAAAATACTGGCATTTCAATTAAAGACTGCCGAGGTCAATCCTACGATAATGCTGCCAACATGAGTGGCCGTTTCAATGGCATACAAACAAAAATAAAAGAACATAATAACTTAGCTGAATACACACCATGTTGTGCTTATTCGCTTAACCTTGTTGGTCAATGCGCTGTAGGGTGTTGTTCTGAGGCTGTATCGTTTTTTGACTTTGTAAATAAGCTGTTTGTATTTTTTTCTGCCTCCACCTCTCGTTGGAATTGTTTGATGGCAGTTTTAAAGCCACTTAATATGCCTACCTTAAAAAGGTTATCTGATACCAGATGGTCAGCACATTATGATGCTGTACACTCCCTCCAGGTTGGCTATACGCAAGTGAAGTCTACACTGGATATCATGTGTCAAGATATGTCTCAAAAGTCAGAAACACGACTTGAAGCCGCAGGATTGAAAGATATAATGAGTCATCATGAAACAGGTATCCTAGTTCAATTGTGGTCAAAAATTCTACATAGGTTCAATTTAACTAGCAAGTACTTACAAGGGGCAGACATGGATCTCAACACCGCTACGGAACTGCTTCGTTCTTTGGGTGATTTTGTTCATTCTCTTCGGAGCCAGTTCACAGCATTTGAAAAGAAAGGAAAGGATCTGGGTACCGATTCGTACAAAGGTGAATCAAGGCGAAAGCGCAAGAGGAACCAGAGATGGGATTATGGTGACTCAGAAGATCTAGAGTTATCCCCTTCTGATAAGTTTAAAGTTCAGTGTTTTTTGCCTATAGTTGATCAATTGTTAGTTGCTCTTAAACAGAGGGCTAATGCATATGATACAGTCATCAAAAGGTTTGGTTTTCTTAAAAATCTACAATCTTTGTCCAATGATGGTATGAGAGATCATGTTTCATTTGTATGTGAAACATATTTTGAAGATGTTGACCCTAACTGTCATGGTGAATTTATTCACTTCACTTCTCTGTTTGCCAAATTGTCACCGCCCAATGAAACTGATTGTGTTGAACTGCAAATGTACACCTTTCTAGTTAAGAATAGTTTGACCGATACCTTTGTGAATGTCTACACTGTGTTGAGAATTTATTTGTCTCTTATGGTCACAAACTGTACTGGAGAAAAATCTTTTTCAGTCCTTAAAAGAGTTAAGAATGAACTTAGATCAACAATGGGACAACCTCGCTTAAATGATTTGGCTTTATTATGCATTGAAAGTGACATAGTTAGATCAAGAGATTTCACAGTAGTGATCAAGAAGTTTGCTTCAAAAAAAGCCAGAAAAGTCAATATATAAAAAACTATTTTAAAAATAATTGATTAACTAAATAGCACATAAATTATGCTACAATTTATATTTATTGTTTTTTTTTATACTTTCAAAAGAAAAATATATGAAGATTCTAGCTTCAGCTAAATATTTGACACCATCAACAATACTAAAAATGATATATGTTTGCTTATATTGCTAAATGCTATTTTCCTATTCCAATTTAACATAAATATTGTTATTGGTGCTTTTGTAATGTTAGACTGTACTAAGGGCATACATGTACAGTACATGTATGCCCTTAGTACAGTCTAACATTACATGGTGACAATTTGGCAAAGGTCAAACAGAGAAGTGAAGTACATCATGTACTTCACTTCTCTGTTTGACCTTTGCCAAATTGTCACCGCCCAATGATCTATATCCTAGAAAACATATGAAAAAATATTTACATGATAAAACAACAATACAATACCTTAAGAATTTTGATGAAATATTGTTTATTTTTATTTTTTTAATTTTTTCATTTAAGTACCAATATTATTGGTATTTTCTTCTTTTATTGGAGGTGAACACATTATCAATTTGATACACGTACTCCACTGTCTCAATAGTAAATATACCTACAGCTCAGCAGTTGCTTTCTTAAGTCATGATTCAAGACCTTTTGTCAGTTTACATATATATGGGTGTCTGGGCCAAAGGGGTGTAGCTGTACCTAACCAGTTGGTAAAAAATTATTAAAAAAATGCTCTAAAACATACCTAGATTGTGTCCTTTTATTAGCAAGACTTAAAAAAAAAATTCTGGGGGGCAGCTTCCCCTCTGACCCTCCTACTTGGGGGGTCTGGGGGCCCCCAAACCCCCCGGCTGGGAGCCTCCGGCCCACTGACCCCTGGTTTAGCCTCGCTAACGCTCGGCATTTTTACCTAACCGCCACATTAGGCCCTCCTATACTTACAGCCCCAGGCCTAAAAATTTCCGAATCCGGCCCTGGCTGGAGGCTTTTCAAAGTACCAGAACCTGGTGCTAATAAATTTAAAATTTGAATTTTTGTGTTTTATGTAATTTAAATAAAACATTTTGAGACAATAAAATTCGTGAATATAATAGATAATTAGCATCTACTTCAAACATAACGCTAGTTTTTGCGTTTTATAACATGTAATTATCTTCATCTTTAATGTATAAATCGTAGGAAAAAAACGGCCATACCATTATATTATTTTTATACAAGCTAAACATTAAACATAACAATTTATTACCGTTATCTTAAAGTGTTAACTAAAAAAAATCTAAGAATAAAAATAATTTTTTTAGTCCACGAAGCAAACACTTCCTTACTTTTCGTTCTAATTGTGCTAAAAGCAACGATAACCATAAAATAAAATTCAGTGGAAAATAAATAGCTTACCTCAGTGTTATTCATTTACAACTTTGAAATATATTTCCTAAACTTTATGAAATAATAATTTTATTTTATTTTATGTCTTAAAGGTAAGACGCAAAATTCAATGAAATAAACACTATTTATATTTCTATTATTTTAAAAAATGTTCAGTTTCGCACATTCAAAAATATAATAGAAACTGAAACAAATTCTTATTTTAGCAATATTGAAAAAAGTAATATGACTGAATTTGATTTGATTTGACGTTGTTTATTTTAATAACGTTGTTATAAAAAATAAACAACGTGATTATGTGTTTATTTTTTATAACAACGTGTTTATTTTTTATAAAATACGATTGGACAAGATTATTTACGGAAATTTTTAAAGTTAAAATTAAAAAAAAAATGAAACAGTGATTACAAATGGATTACATTTAATAACATTTAATCAGGAAACTGTTTGATTTATCTTCCTCTCAATTATTTTTTTAAAAAAAACATTTTTTAAAGTAGACGTTTTTAATTTTAAAAATTCTTAAGTAAAATTCTGCAGTTTTTAATAAATTAAAATCAATGATTTGCATTGACAAGTTAATTGATTTTATTAACAAATTTGAAAAATATATAACGTATATAATTTTCAAATAGCTCTTTTTTTATTCATTTGTAAATATATTACGCAATTTGCGTAATTTACGCAAATTTCGAGACTCTATAAAATTCCCAAAAACATGGAAGAAAACTCCAAAGTGTCTTTTGATATCTTTAACACAAAGTTCTTTAAATTTACACACACACACACACACACACACACACACACACACACACACACACACACACACACAAATAGTATTGCGTACTATATATGGGAAAGCGCGGCACGATGGGTTTTCATATAACAACTCAACAAAATATCTTAAAGTTAGGTAAAAACGAAATTGTATTTGCATCTTGTATTTTAAAACACCAAGCGTTGAAAAGATTTTTAACGCAATTTTATACGCATAAGTTTACTTTTTGCGTTTAAAAAAAAATTCCTTAGTTTCGGTTTCTCATAGTTGATATCAACTATGAGAAATCGAAACTGAGGACACCATCATGATGGTGTCCTCAGTTTAAAGGACACCATCATGATGGTAAACTTAAAGGACACCATCATGATGGTGTCCTTTAAGTTTAACTTCTTTAGAAATAGTTTTTTGCGACTTGTGTTTATTTTACAATACTTTTGTTAGAGTTATTGGTAATTTTTAAAATTTTATGATATTGGAGGCAAAAATTGCATAATAAGTCATCTTGCCCCGGTTACGTGACCAGATGACAAATATCTGAACTTTTAATATTAATATTTATTTCAAATTGCTATATTTGCAAACTGAAAATTCATGCAGGCAATCGATCATTTTAATAACATAAACCCAGCAAGCACATAACGTTATTTCAACGTTGTGAAATGATTGATATGTGGCTGAAAAATAACGATCTAAATTTCAACGTTATTTCAACGTTAGTTCAACGTTTAAAAAAAAATGTTAAAATTTCAACGTTGATTCAACGTTTATTTTTAACTAAAAATAAACGTTGAAATAACGTTAAAAAATAAACGTTGAAATAACGTTGAAATAACATTGAAGTTTAGATATGAGAGTTCGCCTATACAAATGTACGAATTCGGAATTAAATAAAATTTAATATTACACTTAGATCTGTGCTAGGTAAAGTTCTTTAAAAACTTTTAATAAATGTGTTAATGTAATAAAAATGAAAACATTAAAAGATTTTTTTGCCATGAAAATATGTATAATTTTACAAAAATTTATAAGAATTTGCATTATACGCAAGTTTTTTAAAAGTCTTTTTACATTGTGTACAATACATATTTTATATAAAAATGGTGGATTAAAGATGAATATTTAAATCATTTAAAGATATTTTTATATATATTTCAAATAAACAATCAAAGTCTTAGTATAATTATGAAACTATAGTGTGAACTAGGGTTGTTAACCGGAGGATTTCGTGCAATTCCGGAAAAACAACATTCTTTCGTAAAGAGATTGAGAACACGGAATTACATTTTTTCGTACCGAATGTTACAAAAACATTTAAAATCGCCGATGTTCATTTCGCAAAACCACTTCCGAAATTTAGCATTTCGCAAGTTGACATACGAAACAAAACTATTTTGCAACATACGAAAGTAGCGGTTTCGGAAGTCGCACTTGCAAAACAAACATTTTCGCCAAACGACGTTTTGAAGTCTATAAAGAAAATTTGTTTGCCAGACTGATTTTAATTGTAAAAATTAACATCTTTAAATCCCAAAATGTTTATAATGAATTTTTATTTTCAGTATAATAACTATTAAATTTTTATGGTTTTATTTTTAGAAATATTGATAAAAAATAAAATTTCTTTCGAAACGAAAGTATTTCGGATCACAACATACGAAAGAATTCTGAACGGAAATAAACTTACGAAACGTGCCATAATAAATATATACAACGATGTTTTTTGAACTCATTACGTATATTAGAAATAAGTTTTTTGAAATTACGTATATTATAAGTATAGATCTTAGAAAATATTGCTTTTTAATTTTAATAAGATATAAATTTGAGTATAAGATTGTATAGTTCAATCAGTTAGATACGTGATAATTTGCCGCAGAGATCCGGGTTCGCATCCCGCAGCCATTGTAACTTTTGTTCATCAAACTCTTTTTACTTAAGATAGCATTTTTTGACCTCCATGTTCTATATTACAGATCTTTCGTCACCTTCACAATAGTGACAACCTCTCTTCTGTTAGTTATTCTTTTAAGATTGAGTTCATTGTGCTTAATTCTACACGTTTCCCTTGCTTTACTAAGTTCTACTTAAATTATGATGAAATGTACGTAAAACAACTTTTTCAAATAATATAAATCATTTTGCTTTAAATCTTTTGCTTTTTTGTACTAGATATCTGTCCTAAATACTTTGAAATAATTTCTAGCTAACTCTGAGTCTAATATAACCATTTCTGAATATAAATTCCCTGAGGCTCCTACAGCTTATTGTGTTCCAAAAGTAACTAGTTTTCGAGTCCAGATATTAGTTATAAGCATCTAAAGGTTCACATTACTATTCATTTTCCTGATATATAGAATCCTATTTGCATACGTATCTCTTTCTGTAAATTCTATTTTATATAGTTTCTTAATTATATATTAAATAAATATTACTATTCACTTAGTAGAATGAACGTATAGCTCATTTAGTTAAGACATTTGGCCGCGTAGACCCAGGTTCACATCCCGCTGTTTCACATATATTTCTTCTCTTTTTACTCTTTCTGATATCATTTACCTTTAGAGAGATCTCTCGTTCTTTATAATAAAGTATTTAATTGTTTATCACACATCCTCTTTATACTTTTTAAAAAGAAAGGCATAGTGTTTATCTGTTCATTGAGAGTCAAACTTAACGGGATTTTACTGTATATATATGTTTATATATATATATATATATATATATATTTATATATATATATATATATAATATATATATATATATATATATATATATATATATATATATATATATATATATATATATATATATATATATATATATATATATTAGGTATATTTGTATAAATATTTGAAGAATCATTTGACAACATTTTTTTATAATTTTATTATTTATTATTTAAACTGTTAACAGTTAATATCTTAAATATATCGTAACATAAAATCTTTTGCGTCTTTTTCGTAACTACACATTCCGGAATGCTTTTTCCGTAAGGAACTAATTCGTAAGTATTCTTACGAAATGATTTGCTTCGCAAGTTTTCTTTCGCAATGTTTTATTACGGAATTTTATTTACTATTTATATTTTCGTATAGCGCGTTACGGAATGTGCATTTTTGCATGTGCAACTTCCGCAATAACAATTCTATTACGGTAGATAAAAATGCGAAATTTTCGCAAGTTTTGTTTTTCGGCGAACAACCCTAGTGTGAACCAGTATGTTTTGGTTTGTTTAGTCAAAAGACAATGTTTTAGTCAAAAGACAATGCCTATGTGAATGAAATTCCATCAAGTTAAATAAAGAATGGTTTTGTTCATTGTCTGAATCGTAATGTGAAATTTGCAGTAAAAAATTAAATATAACACAACATTTGTTGGTATAAGTTTAAACTAAAATGTGATGAAACTACAGGGGTAAATCTGCAGTTAAGCGGCCTAAAATAATCTTATTTTTTCGCTTGTTACGATCTCGCTCATTTGTAATACTATAACAACAGTTAGTATTATAATATAAAATAAATTAATTATACTACTAATAATAATAAGTGAAAGCTGTAAAAATTGTGAACAAGATGTACAGTACAATAGCATAAGATATTGTATTATGACAGCTATTATAAGTTTTTGAAGAATTATTGTTTCTTTTCTTACACATAAGAAAACAATATTGTACAAAAAATAAATGTTTTTTCGAATTAAAAGAGTCACGGCGCATAAAGCTGTATTTGAGTTTATAAACTCGTATATAAGTTGATTTGTGATGAGTTGATTTTTGGTTTATTTTCAACGTTGATCTAACGTTTTTTTTTTCAACGTTGATTTGCGTTCCCATTTTAACCAAAAATCAACCATTTTTCAACCAAAAATATCAACGGTTTTTCAATGTTGTTTCAACGATAATTGTGCTTGCTGGGAAACGCAAATCAACGTTGAAAAAAAAACGTTAGATCAACGTTGAAAATAAACCAAAAATCAACTCATCACAAATTAACTTATATACGAGTTTATAAACTCAAATACAGCTTTATGCGCCGTGACTCTTTTAATTCTAAAAAACATTTGTTTTTTGTACAATATTGTGTTCTTATGTGGAAGAAAAGAAACAATAGTTCTTCAAAAACGTTTGTCTTAAAAACGAAACGAACTATACTACCATAGCAAATAGTTCAGGAGTCTGGAGTCATAGCATGCAATGACATGAGCAAACAGCACACAGGCAGAATTTCGTTGACAAGTGCCATTTTGCAGCGGACAAAACAAGTGCAACTTTTTTGGTTTGTTTCATTCAAAAAATTTCCGTGAAATAATAAATAAAATTTGTGAAATAAAATTTCCGTGAAATAAAATTTCCGAATTGTCAAAATTGTGAAAAAAAATTGTGAATTGTGAAAACTGTGAAATAAAATTTCCGTGTCAACGT